CAGAATACATTTCTTACACAGGAACAGGAAACAGAGAGGTGGGACTAAACAGGGTATAAAAAGCCTAGCAAGCCCCTTCCTCAGCCCTTCTCTTCTTCTTCTCCATCAACATTGAAACATGTGATCACCTTTTCTGCTCAAGGCTCAAGCCATGTGGCCCTGTCCAACAATAAACCATCTTTCCAAGCAGCCTCCATGTCTCCAGTGTCTTCTTCCCCACTTGGAGCTGAACCCAAAAGGACATTTCTTTCAACATCAGAAACATGGAGTTAAATTAAAAGATAAAGAGGCTGGGGTAGCTCTCCTCCATTTCTCTCTGTAGCTAATCCTAATTAGTACACCTGCCTCTTTAGGGTCAAATTTACCAATGGCAATACAGAGCATGGGGACCAGGAAATTATTGCCTGATTTAATATATTGTGTGGCCCTCACTTCATATACTAAGACTCTTTATCTACAATTAATGCAAAGTTAAACCAACTGCGTTTATTCAGTAAAGGAGAACATACTTTTCATTATGGGACCGTGATACAAACTCGCCTCTTATTACATCATACTGAACATTTTTCATTAGAACCAAAAAGGAATTCAGATATGTGTGGTAACCTTATGACTGCACAATTCTGAGATGTTGGTGCTTTCTTTTCTACACTTGCCAAAATGCCAAACCATGGAAAATGACATCAAATCTGTAATGTTATACTTTCTCTTAATGTTAGCCTCTACCTATGCTGCCTTTATAGAAATCAGTGCAAATCACTACTAAAAGTTCTCCCTCTTGTTCTTAATGATTATGCATATGCAGGCGACTCCACAACATATTATCCGCTCCTGCCAGAATTCAAAGACAAAAGTGACAGAATTTTACTGCCAGAAATCTCAGCTGTTTTGAGAGCTTGAGGGGAAGTTTTTGGATGGGATGCTCCCATTCTCATCCTAATACATTTGTTCTCTGAAAAGGGCCTAAATTTTTATCCAGTCTTTGGGAGATCTAATTGGAGGGTCTGTGGACTTCAGAAGATCAGGATGATAAATTGCAGCTCCTCAGGAGTTGGCACAGGATCTGGCATGGCTCTGGCTAATGCCCTCAATTTCTCTTAAACTCAATTTCAAAGTGCTATCTATTTCTTTAAAAGTATCAGTTGCCAGCATTTGGTGTTTCCTTTCTATCTGGTATTCAATTTTTTCCACTTATTTTTAGAACAAACAGTATATCATTTTGGCAATTAATATCATTTTCATGAATGCTATTGAAAGGCTCTGAATGCCAGAAATTTCCAGTTCTGGAAATATTGGAATTATGAGAGAGAAATCTTCATCTGATGATCCAGCCCCTTGATGTACCCAAGAAAGGAGCATACAATAAAATCTTACCCATTAGTATAGGTATAGGTATTTTATTTGTATGCTGCCCTTTTCCCTGGGGGGACTCAGGGCGGCTCACAGTTCAAAGGGAGGGAGG